TTGGGAAAATGTTCACAAACTGCATGATGTTCAATTACTCCTCCTCTAATTTTTTTTGTGTTTAAAAATTAAAAATTTTTATTTTTCTAATTCAAGGCGAGAAATTTTTTGAGCTCGCGATTTTTTTTCTCTCTATTAACTCGTGTTCTCTAACCCTTTTTTTTTTCCCCAAGTTTTTTATTAAAATTTTAAATTGTTTTTCACTTCCCCTAGCTTTTCCCAAAGAACCCAAATCTATCAAAGCTCTTTTTTTGGGCTTTCTCGCTTTCCCTTTCCCCCCCCCCCCACCCCCCCCCCCCCCCCCCCCCCCCCCCCCCCACTTGTCTTCTCTTTTCCCCTTCTCTTTTTTCTCCTTTTTCTCCCTTTTTTTTCTTCTCTTTTTCCCCTTTCCTTTCTTTCTTTTCCCCTCTTTTCTCCCCTTTTTTTCTTTCTTTTCCTTTTAAAATTCTTTTTCCCTTTTAATTTTTTCTTCTTTCCCCAATTTTCCAAAAAATTTTTCACCAAAGGAAAAAACTAAAATTTTTAGGGAAATTTTAAAAATTATTAAAAAAAAACGGATTCAATTTCCCCCCCCGCCAAAAAATTTAAACCAGAGGGTGAAAGGGTTAAATTTAAAAAATGGTTGGGTTCAATTCCCGGGTGGGCCCAAAAAGTAAATAAAAGGGGTCCCCTTTCCATTCCCAAAATTTTTAACAAAACAAGGGTTTTACGCCCCTTTTTGAGCCTGCAAATTTTAAAAAAATGGGGGCCCTTGACCAAATCCAAATTTTCAACCCAAAAAGGTGGCCAGGAAAAGTTTTATTGGTTTTCCCTTTATTTCAAAAAATCTGAAACTATTTCAAACCAAAAAACTTTCTCCCCGTTTTAATCCTCCAAAGTGTTTAACTCCCCCGGGGGGGAAATTTGGGATTTAATCCTGGTAAATTGGGTTATTTAATTTTTTAAAACTTTAACCCAAACCCCAAAATTTTACTTACTTACCCCTTTCCAATAAAAATGTTTTCTCAGGCTGGTCCTCCTCGTTAAAGGGGGGAAAAAAATTCCAAAAAGGAAATTTAATTTTGAAAAAATTTAAAAAATAAAAAAATTAAAAATGGAAATGGTCCTATTTGAAAGGGGAAAAAGTGAAAAATAATTAAAAATGGGCCCCTTTGGAAAAAATTCCAAAAAGCCTTTTTTTTAAAAAATTTAAAAATTTTTACAAAAAAAAAAAAAAAAACTTTTTTTGGTTGAAAAAACAAAAGGGGGTTGGGTTGGGACACTTTTTGTTGAAATGTAGGCCCTTTCTGTGATTTAAAGGGGGGGGGGGCAGGTGTTGGGGACCATCCCCTGGGGTTGTTCTTCACAGTATACCCGTGAGTTTCTATTCCCCCAAGACAGGAAAACAGGGTTTTTTTACCCCCTGCCCAAAGGGGTGTGGAGTTAGTCCTGAATTTCCAAAACGGTGCCCAGGGAGTTCCCAAAACAAAAAGGGGAAGTCTCTGGGGGCATTAGTCCTTCTCCTGTTCTACTCGTTGATTTCCCGGGGGACCCTCCTGACATCCAAACTGGAAAGATTACGGTTACCAAATGTTAAAAAAATCACCTTCAGGGAGTTAAACAAAAAAAAAAAAAATTCGAAAGACGTTTGGGGAATTTTTACAACAGGGCAAAACCAAAAAAGCAAGATGAAAGGGGCTAAGTTTATTAATTGGGCAAAAATGAAAACTTTTAACCATAAAACCCCTAGAATAAAGGCAGGCTGTACTTACAGTAAGGGTTTGGGGGGCTGTGGGTCTAGTGATTTACTGTTTTTAAAAAAAGAGCCCCCCGTCACCTTTTTGGGGGGGGGGGGAAGAAAAGGGGGGCGGGATAGCGGGGGCTAGACTGACCCTACCTGAGTAGCCGGCAATGAAACATTGGTTTTAAAAAAATAAAATTTCCCTCTAAACCAAACTATTGAACTTTTTCCCCCCCAAAACCCATGCAAATTTTCCTACCCGACTTTTGACCTATATCTGGTACTGACGAAAATTTTTACCTAAGAAAAAATTGAAAAAAAATTTTTTTTTATGGGATTGAATTTAAAAGATTTTGTCTCCGGGGGGTTAAAAACTTTTCGCTTCACACGGCAAGGGCCTTTGGGTTCAATTCCCCCCCGCCAAGTAAAAAAATTGGTGGGGTTTTTTTCCCCCGTTGTCTGTGTTCCCATCATAAAATGGGTAAATGGGTTGGGCGGGCTGGGGTTTTTGGGGCGCATCCCGGGAAAAACTGACTTAATTTGCCCCAAATGCGGGCAAAACAAGGGACTTTCAAAATAGTAGTAAAATCATTGTTGTCAGCTAGGACTGTATAACCCCTTTACATGTGGGGTTTTAGTAAAAAAAAGATTTATTATTATTAAATTTTTTTTTAAATTTTCCCCCTGGCCGATTCCCACCAAGGGAGGGTGGCCCGAAAAAGAAAAAATTTAACCCTCATTCACACCAAACACTGTCTTGCCGAAGGGTGCTTTACACCCCCGTTTTTAAAAAAGCCAAAATTAACACCCCTCCTTTAGAAAGGGGCAGGACTGGGATTCCCATCTCCAGGCCCCAAAATCCGGGCCCGCGGTTTCCCCGAACCCCTTTATAAATGTTACTTTGCCCACACTCCAAACACTCCAAAATATTAAAAACCATTTGGGCTCCATTTACTCCTATCAAAACACGCTCAACCCCCCTGTTTGGAAACCCCCGCCCCTCCACCCCAAAACCTCCTTTAACCCCCCCTCTCCCCAAACCTTTTTTAGGCCACCCCTAAACCCCCCCTTCCTTCCAAATACAGACTGATACACCCCTTTTAAGTCAAACTGGTTTTGCTACCCCTTCTCCTTACATGTCCCCAACCAAACCCCAAAAAACCCTTCCTCACCCTCGGGACAACAGTTTTTTGGGAATCCGCCCCCTCCTCCTAACTTCCAAAAAAATACGAATTTTCTGCATTATATTTTACATCACACATTGCCCCAGACAAGAAATCTCCACTGCCTCCAGCCCCCTCCTCGCTGCAACATTCATCACCCATGCTTCACACCCTTTTTAAAAAGCGTTGGTTTAAAAAAATTTTCCCCCATACATTTCCCCTTTGCCTCCCAAAGGGCAAATTTTTTTTGTTTTCCAAGATCCCAAGTGCCCACTCACCTTTTTCCCCCCATTTAATTCTATGATTCACCCCTTTTTTCCCTAGACCCATCCCCCTGCACGTCCCCTCCCAAATATTGGGAAAACTTCACCTCCTCCCTACTCTTCCCCCAAAACTGATATTAATTTCCCTTTTTTTTTTTTCATCACCTTTCTTTTTGTTTTCCTCAAACCTTACTCTTTCCTGTATTCAACCCTTTAAAATTTTTTCTTTTGCCAACCCCCCCCCAAATTTTATCCCCCCCAATCTTGCAACTTCTCTTCAAAATCCCCCAAGAGCACAGTGTCATCAGCAAAGAGCAGCTGTGACAACTCCCACTTTGTGTGTGATTCTTTATCTTTTAACTCCATGCCTCTTGCCAAGCCCCTCGCATTTACTTCTCTTACAACCCCATCTATAAATATATTAAAACAACCAGGGTGAATCACACACCCTTTGTCTAAGGCCTACTTTTACTGGAAAAAATTTCCCTCTTTCCTACATACTCTAACTTGAGCCTCACTATCCTCGTAAAAACCTTAAATGCTTTCGTAACCTACCTCCTACACCATACACTTTTCAACATCTGCCACATTGCCCCCCTATCCACCCTGTCATACGCCTTTTTTCCCAAATCCATAAATGCCACAAAGACCTCTTTAGCCTTATCTAAATACTGTTCACTTATATGTTTCACTGTAAACACCTGGTCCACCACACCCCTACCTTTCCTAAAGCCTCCTTGTTCATCTGCTATCCTATTCTCCGTCTTACTCTTAATTCTTTCATAATAACTCTACCATACACTTTACCAGGTATACTCAGCAGACTTATCCCCCTATAATTTTTGCACTCTCTTTTTCCCTTTGCCTTTATACAAAGGAACTATGCATGCTCTCTGCCAATCCCTAGGTACCTTACCTCTTCCATACATTTATTAAATAATTGCACCAACCACTCCAAAACTATATCCCCACCTGCTTTTAACATTTCTATCTTTATCCCATCATCCCGGCTGCCTTACCCCCTTTCATTTTACCTATTGCCTCACGAACTTCCCCCACACTCACAACTGGCTCTTCCTCACTCCTACAAGATGTTATTCCTCCTTGACCTATACACGAAATCACAGCTTCCCTATCTTCATCAACATTTAACAATTCCTCAAAATATTTCCTCCATCTTCCCAATACCTCTAACTCTCCATTTAGTAACTCTCCTCTCCTATTTTTAACTGACAAATCCATTTGTTCTCTAGGCTTTCTTAACTTGTTAATCTCACTCCAAAACTTTTTCTTATTTTCAACAAAATTTGTTGATAACATCTCACCCACTCTCTCATTTGCTCTCTTTTTACATTGTTTCACCACTCTCTTAACCTCTCTCTTTTTCTCCATATACTCTTCCCTCCTTGCATCACTTCTACTTTGTAAAAACTTCTCATATGCTAACTTTTTCTCCCTACTACTTTCTTTACATCATCATTCCACCAATCGCTCCTCTTCCCTCCCGCACCCACTTTCTTGTAACCACAAACTTCTGCTGAACACTCTAACACTACTTTGTTTTTACAGGGTAAAAGTGAAAAGCGAGTGGTATGGTATTGTATTTGTAAGGGAAAATATGTGTTATGATGTAAGTTTTAATCAAATAATGACGTATGCAGTGGCGCTTTTGGTAATGTGGCACCTTCCATTTTCTTGAAGGTTCATCTCATAAAAGTTAAATTATATCACATCATAAGATGTGTGTATCCAGACACTGTAATATGCCTTTAAATCTTTTTGTATCACATAATTTTTTTCTATGGAAAGAATGTCAAGTATAGTATCTTTATTGACTGTTCCTTGGTTCAACAGAAAGAAAAGGTTGAGGAGGTGAAGGAGCGAGTGGCCTTGCTACGGTTGGTTGTGCATGCCACCAAGCAGAATACCTCATATGGTAACTATATACATGTATCTTTATTCTCTTTATGGAATTTTAGCTGCCATGATCATTAACACAGCCATTCATATTGGGTAAACCTTAGGAGGCTAGTGAATCCTCTTGCAAATTAATTAGCTGAGAAACACTGTACCAGAGTATCTAGTTACCGTACGTGAGCACGATTGTAACCAGATATAAACATGTAGGTAGTTCATTACCACTAACTTATTTAGCTATCAAACCTTTGGGGCCCAGCCCCTGGACCCATTATGTGCCTCTGTAATCTTTTGACTTACAATCAGAGGATGGGTATGTGGTACGTATATAGTAAAGATATTAAACTGATTAAAGAACCCAGGCAGACTGTTTTTTTTTTTTTTTAAATGAGGTTTTTTAAGAACTTTGATTGTAATGCATAATATTGAGTGAAGACCCATTGTAATGTCTGTTGCATTGAGGACCTATTGTTGAATAAGATACATTTGCAATACTTGCATATCTTTATTGCTGAAGTGTTTCATAGACACAACAGGCTTCGTCAGTCAAATACACTGGACCCCCGCCTTACGATATTAATCCGTTCCTGAGAGCTCATCGTAAGCCAAAATTATCGTAAGGCGAATTAATTTTCCCCATAAGAAATAATGGAAATCAAATTAATCCGTGCAAGACACCCCAAAGTATAAAAAAAAAAAAAATTTACCACATGAAATATTAATTTTAATACACACAAACTGAAGAAGACATGCACAGTTACTGCTCTACTAAGAATAGAATACATGACACTTACCTTTATTGAAGATCTGATGATGATTGATGGGATGGGAGGAAGGGAGAGTGTGGAAGTTATTGTTTAGAAGGGGAATCCCCTTCCATTAGGACTTGAAGTAGCAAGTCCTTTTCCGGGGTTACTTCTCTTCTTCTTTTAATGCCACTAGGACCAGCTTGAGAGTCACTGGACCTCTGTCACACAACAAATCTGTCCATAGAGCTCTGTACCTCCCGTTCCTTTAACCCTTTGAGGGTCGACAGGCCCTCTCCGAAACTCGTTCTCAGGGTCGGCCAAATTTAAAAAAAAAAAAAAATATTTTCTCTTATGAAAAGATAGAGAATCTTTTCCCGATCATAACGACACCAAAAGTTTGAAATTTGATAGAAAACTTACGGAATTATGCTCTCGCAAAGTTAGCGGTCTCGGCGATGTTTACGGATCGGCGATTTTGCCCACTTTGAGCCCCATTTTCGGCCAATTTCACTGTACTAGTCGACAAAAAAACATGAATATTTCGCTAGAACTCCATTTTTTCTATCGAATGGGTGCAAGAAACCACCCATTTATAAATTCAACTATCCAGTACAGTGGTCAGAATTTAGCAATTTTGCCAATTTCACACAAATTTCAAAAGATGCCAATTTCGGAATAGGGTCCAGAATAAACAAGAAAGACATTCCTGGCACTAAAATGACATTTCCTCTAGTCATTAGTCACGTCTCAAGGCCCCTCTTATATTCTTTTGCTTTCCACTTTGAATTTTTATTCTCACAAAAAATATAAGATTTACTGTTATGCAGACTACTGCATTAGTGTAAAAAATGGTATAAATATTATTGGTGCACTTGTGAAAGAATATTAGACTCACCAGTTGACGTGTATTGCACGCTTGGCACGATTTGTTTACTTTTGAAGTTTGGTAAAAATCGAACATTTCTGCTACTTTGAGCTCAATTTAAAGGCACCTTTCATTGTAAAACCAGTCAAAATCATCTCAATTTCAGTAATATGTCTTCCATTCTATAAAATGAGACCAAGAAAACTAGAATACAACAATAAATACTATACGAAAATACACTGCAAAGTCGCTGATTTATTAAAAAAAAATGGAAAAAGTTTTTTTTTTCTCATTATGCACCGTGTGCTGCAGGATTTTTTTTAGACTGTGCACACTGACCACATAGACCCATTCTTTCATATGAAGGCCTACCAGCTTTCTCCCACTAGATTTATGGTCGTTAGAATTTATGAGTACTAGTACGTCAAAAACCCCTACGCGTAAGACGTACTAGTACGACGAAAACCCTCAAAGGGTTAAGATTTGCCTAAAGTGGGCCACAACATTGTCATTGTAATAGTCACCAGCACTGCTTGCAATAGCTGTGTTAGGGTGCTTTTCATCCATAAAGGTTTGCAGTTCAACCCACTTTGCACACATTTCCTTAAACTTTGAAGTAGGCACAATGGATTCCACGACTGGCATAGGCTTCTCAGGGTTAGCCCCAAACCCTTCAAAATCTTTCTTAATTTCCATACTAATTCTCACCCTTTTTACCACAGGGTTGGCCTAGAAGCTTTCTTGGGGCCCATGGTGACTTATTTTGCAGAAACAAGCACAAAAAACACTGGGATAAGGTGAAATGTACTGAATGTATGCGTGGATGCGACCGCACCGGCTGGCTTATAAACACTGGCGCTGAGGCCACACGTGGGACGTGTCCCGGACGAATCGCGTGAGGCAAGGCAAAATTTTTGCATGGCGGATTTAACGTAACGCGATGCCATTGCAAGGCGGGGGTCCACTGTACAGGCAAATGGGATTTTAGAAACTGTACAAATAGTTTTAACTTGGTAGGTGGTGGTCAGTCCTTCAAGCCTGGTAAATTTGAAGGACTGACCACTACCTACCAAAGGAGATGGATTGATCACATCAAAACTATTTCTTCTGCTTCCAGTATTGAATTCACTTATATTCAACTGGAGAAGTCTTATGTGTAGACAGAATTTTTTGGTAATAAGGATACCCAAGTGTCACACATGTCTTATTCATCAACTTGTTGGTATTGTGTACCATCATTAATATAATAAGATTTATTGCAGTGTATAATATTGCAGTGAAAACCCAGAGTGCTGAGGTGTCCAACACTAATGCTCTGCGGCGCCACCAGCTAGCCAACCTTCCGTCAAAGACTGCTTAAGATAAGAAAGATTTTACTTCAGTACCAAGATAAGGTAAGTTTTTCACCCAAGCATGTGAGAAATCTCTCATATGTGGGGTATTGATAAAGATAGTTATCCTATTTCGCAATCTCTCTTCCTGACTCGCCCCAATGTAAAATTTATTCCTAACATCCTAAAGACTCATTTGGGTTTTTACCTTCCCTCTGTCAAATTCAAAATTCAGATTTGCATTTCTTTTGTGCAGTACACAGATAATGTAGTTTACATGTAATAAAATACTGTTAGGCACAAAAGAAAGCCACTAGCATTCACTGCATTTCGGGAAGATTGATCCTAATGCTTTAAAGACTACTGAGAAGCTAGGCATAGTTCTTCAGTAGTCCTTAAGCATTAGTTAAGGACATGATTACAATGCATCTTTTAAAGCCTTTCTCTAGTGATAGGCGATCAGTCTCATACCTTCTTCATAGCTTCTGCTTTTCAGCTCTAATTTCAGTTTGGTGACAAATCTCTAAACTTTCACAAGACACTTTATATGCTTGACTGAGTGAGGGTGTCACATTGGTGCTGTATACATGGGGGAATGATCTTATGTGTATGTTGGTATTTTCTATCTGGTTTTTGTGTTACACCTGGATGGACTGGTTCACCCTCCATGTGTTATGTTATGTTCAGTCTGTCTATGACACCTAGAGTTTTTGTTCCTCATGTGTGGCACCTGGAGATGTTACCTTTCCATGTGTGACACCTAGAGATATGTTCTTTCCATGTGTAACACCTGGAGATATGTCCTTTCCATGTGTGATACCTGGAGATTTTGCCTTTCCATGTGATACTCTTATCTGTGTTCAGCATTTGACACCTGGTTGTTGCTCTTCCATATGTTACATGTGATCATGCAATGACACCCATTGAGTGGGAATACCTACCTACCTACCTACAGTGCCCACAAAATAAATCAGTGTTTTAGAATTTTCTCTTGCACTGAATAGCTTAACCCTTTCAGGGTCCAAGGCCCAAATCTGGAGTCACGCACCAGTGTCCAAGAATTTTCAAAAAAAAAATTTGTTATTTTTTCTTATGAAATCGTAGAGAATCTTTTTGTGAAGGTAATAAAACAAAAAGTACGAAATTTGGTGGAAAATTGACGAAATTATGCTCTCGCGAATTTTGATGTGTCAGCGATATTTACGAATCGGCGATTTTGCTGACTTTGACTCCCATTTTAGGCCAATTACATTATTCCAATCAACCAAATTCTTAGCTATTTCACTAGTATTACTTCTATTCTATCGATTGAGCACAAGAAATCGCCAAGTCAACTGTTTCAACTACAAAATAAAGTGATCGGAAATTGTTAATTTGGCCAATTTAACACAAAGTTCAAAATATTCCAATTTCAAAATAGGGTCCAGAATGAACAATGTAGGCATTCCTGGCACTAAACTAACATTTCCTCTGTTCATTAGTTATGTTTTGAGGCTTTAAAATAAATTCCATTTTGATTTTTTATTCACATAATGAATTTTTATTCACACCAAAAAATAGAAGATTTACTGTTATGCAATACTGTAATAATTGTATAAATATCATCACCATATTTGTGAATGTATATTAGACCCACCAGCTGACGTGTATTAGACTTGTGAGGTCGTTTGTTTACTCTTGAATATCGGCAAAAATTTAACATTTCCGCTACTTTGAGTTCAGTTTCAAGCCATTTCCAATGCTAAAACCAATCAAAATCATCTCTATTTCTGTAATAAGTCTTCCATTCTATCAAATGAGACCAAGAAATCGCAAATACAACTATAAAAAACATACGAAAAAACACTGCAAAGTTGCTGTTTTAATCGAAAAATCATGATTTCATTTTTTTTTCTCTCATTATACACAGTGTGCTGCAGGATCTGTTTTATGTGGTGCACACATACCACATAGATGTATTCTCTCATATCTAGGCCCAAATGTACCACTCACAGTTTATCAGAGTGAGCTGAGCTCATGGCGTAGATCTACGGTTTGGACCCTGAACGTAAAGCCGTAGATCTACGGGACGGACCCTGAAAGGGTTAAAGGCAGTGTTACCGAGGCTGATCATGAGTCGGCAACTCTCACACCCATCACACACACACACTGTTACCTCGTTGGAGTTGCTGTTAGGCTTGACCCCTATTTTGAACTTTGCTGTTGGATTGCTTGACAGCTTATAATTTGGTTTCAGTGATCATAATCGGGCCCTGTAAGCTTAGCATGGAAGAGAAGGCTTCTGATTTGGCCCTGGCAAGAGAGGAACAGAAAAATTGTGAGAATCAGGTGAGTTGGATGATCAGAAGTGGCAGTGTGGTGGTGAAGAATGTGGCAGACAAACAAAACAAAAACAAACTTTATAAAGTGGAGTATAGTATACGTATTATATAATTAGGGTGATTGACATATTATATAACCACTTTATAGAAAGCCTGTTATTGTGCAAAGCATTTTGTGCAGCCTTAAAACTAAATTATGATTATTAGTATACAAGAATGAGAATACATTATTCTTAAAATATTGGAGATATTTAGTAGTTCAGTAAAAAATTATAATTAGTGATATTTTAGTGATGAATCTAGGTACACAAGTTGAAGGGATGATTGATAAGAACAGGAATAATACAGGTTGAACAGTTTCCTCCTCATGAGGCTCTCAAGAGGAAGCCATGTACATCTTATTAAGTTTCCTATTGAGAAGATACATTGGTCTACTGATAATTCACCATATACATTACATGATGGGAGGATTTTGAAAAAAATCCCTTGGGTTCTTGATCCAAGGGATTGAAGCTGATTGTGTCCTATTCCCAAAATGTAAAAGTCTTAGCAATGCAATGCTTCCCCATAAATATAATAATAATTGTCTAGTGTGGTAATAGTACGTCAAATTATTTTTTTTGCACAAAAGAAAGATGCATGCCACCAGTCTGTATCTTTCTTGTTTTTATCTCTGTCTTTGTTGTTAATCTTCAGCAAGCTTATAAGACAATTTCTCATCCAGGACTTAAAATTGTACCAATCTCTACATAGTCTTTTTTCTTTAAATGCTTCATTATCTCTTTCCATACAATCTTCACAAAGCTTACATTTTATTTGTGGCGTCTATCTGTAACCCTTGTTTTTCATATGTTACCACTGTGGTCTTTTCAGTTTTCTGGTAGCTCTTCTGAATTAAGTGATTTGTTAAAGATTTTTATTATGTATTTGGTCACATTTTGATTCTGATAATCCCATTTCTCTCACAAACATTCTTATGCCACCATAGTCCCCCTTTTCTGTAGCCCAATTTTGTGTTTTGTTTTCTCTGTCTTTCTCCATTCTCATTTTCATTTGGAACTCAAAATTTAGTGCCTCATGATCACTGGCACCCAGTGGTTTCCCATGTCTTATTTCAACATTACAAATGTTGGAATTTCATGTGTTTAGTAATCTTCCTTCATTGCACCCCTTAATCATCAGTGCCATAGTTCTACGGTTTTGAACTTTGGGTCAGTGCCATAGAACTACGCCATGAGCTCAGCTTGCTTAAATAAGCTGTGAGCGGTAAATTTGGGCCTATATATGAGAGAATGGGTCTGTGTGGTAAGCCTGCACCATATAAAAAAAAATCCTGCAGCATGCAGTGCATGAGAAAAAAAAACTGCAACATTTTTTTTGGTTTAAAACATTGACTGTGTGGTGTATTTTTGTATGGGATTTTATGGTTGTATTCACAGTTTCTTGGTCTCATTTGATAGAAAGGAAGATATATTATAGAAATGGATGATTTTGATTGGTTTGAGCATTGAAAATAGCTTGAAATTGAGCACTAAGTAACAAAAATATTCAATTTTTGCAGTTATTCCAGACTAAGCATATCACGTAACTCGTCCAGTATGCATCCACTGGTCGGTCTAATATGCATTCCTGAACGCACTGACATTATTTTTACAGTTATGACAGTAATGCCTGACAGTAAATCTCTTATTTTTGTGTGAATAAAAATTTGAAATGGAATTCATATGCCATGCCTGGGAATATAACTAATGAACAGAGGGAATGTTGTTTTAGTGCCAGGAATGACTGCATTATTTATTCTGGACCCTGTTTTGATATTGGCATATTTTGAAATTTGTGTGGAACTAGCCATATTACCAATTTCTGATCACTTTATTGGGTAGTTTTAATAGTTGATTGGGCAACTTCTCATGTACAGTCGATAAAATAGAAGGCATGTTAGCATAATAGCTAAGAATTTGGTTGACTGGAACAATGTAATTGGCCTAAAATAGGACTTGTTGTGGGCAAAATTGCCAATTCATAAATATCGCTGACACAGTGAAATTTGTGATAGTGTAATTTCATTAATTTTCTATCAGATTTCGTACTTCTTGCTTTATTACCTTCAGAAAAATATTCTCTACTATTTCGTAAGAAAAATAGCAAAAAAATATTTTTTTTAATTTTTGGACCCTGTGGACAAGTTTCAGATTGAGGGTCTGGATCCTGAAAGTTTCAAAGATTTCGATAATTGAATAGTATGTCAAAACTGTTGGCCTATTTTGCATGCAACCATGCCATAAAGTGCTGTCTGAGAAGTCAGTAATGGGATGTCTTTAATATTTTCATTTTGCCAGTATTACATAATTACTGTACATGTATATTTGGAATAAAAGAGCCAAAGTTGAACCCATAATTAATAGATTCGGGACAAGAGAGAACAGCTGGTCATCAGGGAAGCTCAGCTGAAGGGAGTCATCCGACGGAGCATACACCAACTTACACGTTATATCTTTCCCATCACTGAAGTGAAGCCAGCCAGAAGGTACTGTATTTTTTCTTGATTTTTTTTATACTTTTCATTAGAAATGGGAAGGGAAAAGAGACATGAGAGTACTGTAGTTTACCATACAGTGATGCAGTAAGCTTTAGTTACCAAAATTCTGTGTAGTTTGGTGTGCATTCTAAAGAAACAAGAAGGATCAATGTGCACATGTTTAGGATTTCTATCTGGCCTATCTTGATTATATGTATGTCACTTGAGGAAGAACATGCACATAATGATGTTCAAGTAAGTGTAAGGGAATTAAAGATAAGGGGGAAATAAAAATGTATTTGCACTTGCCACATGGGATTGAAACTTTCTGAGTATGGCTCATTAATGTAATAGTGGAGTAAGAAAGTCACAGATACTGAATAGTGGATATCAAGAGGAAGAAAGCTGGAGGTAAAAGTCATATTATTGATAAGTCATTCAGCTTTAATTCTGGTTTTGTCAAATGAGGATTAGAATACATGTTAATACTTTTTATTGTTAATTTTTCCTTGAATGTCCTTTTGTGTAGTGTTTAATTTTAATTGCCAGAAGGAGTGAGGGATGTATGTATATTCCAGGTCAAAGTGCTCTTCAAATGTCGAGTACCACACCTATGTTTTTGCTTGAATGTTGTGTTATCAAAATTGTCTTGATTTAAAGAGCAATAATTTCATAAGAATTAAAAAATAAATTACGGGGAAAGTATTTTTTTGGGAAAGTTCGTAAATTAAATGTTAAGTGTTTTCTGGAATTAAACTTGAAATGACTATTGATGCATGTGGAGATCCCCCGTGGGGGCCCTTTTTAAATTTGCATTTAAAAAGAAAAAACAATTTTTATCATTTTCCCTTTGTATTTTAACCACTTTTTATTAAAAACCCTTTTAGTGTAATGTAAAATTGTAAATTCATACTGTACATATATGCATATTTCATATGCAGTATTTTTACATTTTGGATAAACTAGTATCTCTTTTAATGTCTAAAATGTGGACTTATGCTCATTATATGCCCCGAAGACTTCTTATTGTAATGTCATTTGTGCAGATGCGCAATTTATTTGGTGTTTTTCCCCTTTTCAGCAGTGTGAGCATGGCAGGAACATGGTTTTTTGTTGTTGTGTGTGTGTGTGTGTGTGTTTTTTTATATATTTTTTTTTTTATATATATATATATTTTATATAAAGAGAGGAGAGAAGAGAGAGAGTAGAGGGAGAGAGAGATAGAGAGAGATAGAGAGAGATAGAGAAGAGATAGAGAGAGAGAAGAAAAGGGGATGAGAGAGATAGAGAGGGGTAAAAAGAATAGGAGAGAGATAGAGAGAGATAGAGGGGGGAAAAGAAGATAAAAGGAAGAGTAGAGAGGAGATAAGAGAGAGTTTGAAGAATGAGAGAGATAGAGAGAGAGATAGAGAGAGAAGAGAGATAGAGAGAGGGAAGAGAGAGATAGAGGAGATGAGAGAGGATTGGGGGATGGAGAGATAGAGAGGGGATAAAGAGGATGAGAGAAGAAAAGGAAGAAAAGAGTAGGAGAGTAGAGATGAAGATAGAGAGAGAGATAGAGGAGAGATTAAGAAGGGGAGATAGGAGAGAGATAAGGAGAAGGGGAGATAGAGAAGAGAAGAGAAGAGAGAGAGATGAAGAAAAGTAGAGAGGAGATGAGAGAGAGATAGAGAAGGGAAAAAGAATAGAGGAAAGAGAGAAGGGGAGGATAAAGAGGGTAGAGGGAGATAGGAGAGAAAAGGGGATAAGAGAAAGTGGAGGAGAGGATAGAGAAGAGAAAAGGAAAGGTGGAGAGGAGATAAAAGGTGGGGGAAGGGGGAAATTTATAAAGGGATTCAGGGAAATTATTTTATTTGTCGGTTAGCCTAAAGGGGATTAATCCCGTTTTTTTAAAAGGGGTTTTTATATTGGCTTTTGGGGGGGTATTTGTGTATTTTTATTTTTTTTGCCGGGATGTTTTTTTAATTAAAAAAGTGAATGTGCATGTGGGGGTTTTTATTGTGAGGTATTTTTTTTTGGGGAAATTTTTTTTTTTTTGGGTTGTGGTGGGGGGGAATTTTAAAAAAAAAAAAAAAAAAAAAAAAAAAAAAAAAAAATAAAAATAAAAATAAAAATAAAAAATAAAATAAAAATAAAGGTTTAAAAGTTTTTAAAAAATATGAAATAAAGAAAATTTTTTAAAAATAAAAATAAAAAGTGGAAAAAAAGATGGAAATAGGAAAGAATTTTGGGTTTAAGAAAAATTTTGAGAAAAGAAAAAAAGTAGTTTTTGGAAAAGGAAATGGGGGTGGGGGAGTAGTTGGGTGGATTTTTTAAGATGGGTAAATAAAGAAATGGAAAATTTTTCGATTAAAGGGTTTTTTTTGGGGGTTTTTGGAAAAAAGGGAAAAGGGGGAAGAAATTTTAGGAAATAAGAAAATAGGGGGAAAAAATAGAAAAGGAAAAAAGAATGAAAAGTAGAAAGGGAAAAGTGGGTTTGAGGGGAGGGTTAAAAAAATAACCCTGATATTGGGGGGGAAGTGTGGGGGTAGAGTGGGGGGAGGGTGGAACCCGGGGTTTGGGGGAAGGGGGGGCGGGGGGGGAAAAGAGTGGGGTTGGAGGTGGGAGAGGGTGGAGAGGTGGGGAAAGTTGTTGGGAAGAGGGGGGTAGAGGTGGGTTTTGGAGAGAATAAAGAAAAAAAAGAGGAGAAGGAAAAAAAAAGTAGGAGGAAGGGTTTTAATTTTTTTGGGGGTTTTTTTGCTGGGTGCAAAAAGTGAAAACCCTTGAAAGGAAAAATGGGGAATAGTGTTTTGGTGAAAAAAACCGAAAGGGGGTTTAAATTTAAGATGGTGGATAAAGGTATGGGCCTTTTGGAAAAATAAAAAAATTTAATCCCAGGAAAAAGGCACTGAAATTGTTATAGTATTTGTTTTAAAAAAAGGTAGGTTCAATTTTCTTTTTAAATAGAAGGGCACTATATATCGTCATTTATTACTATTGGAGTTTTTTTTGGGGGGTGGAAAAAATTTAGGGAAATTTTTTTTAAAATTTTTTGGGGGGGAATTTTGATTTCCATTTTTCAGGGGGAAAAAATTTCAGATAGATTTTTGTAAAAAGTTTTGGGAGGTTTTAAAATCGGTATGGGGGGAAAAATTATGTTATTTTTTTTTTTTAAAAATTAATAGGGTTTAAAGGGGGTGGGAAAAAAAAAAAATTTTAAATTTACCCCCGTTTAAAAGGGGTTTAAAAAAGTTTTAAATGTAATTAAACCCCTTTAGGGGGAGGACTGCCCCCATTGGAAAGGGGGGTTTTTGATTTAAAAGTTACCCCCAAAAAAAAGATAATTTAAAAAAAATTTTTGTTTTTTTAAAAACCCGTAGTGTGCGGAAAATAAAACCCTAAAAAATTTTCCCCCCCTTCACCCTTTAGGGGGTTACCCCCCTTTTAAAGAAAACATTTTAAGTTTTTTTTCGTCTTTCCCTTTAAAAAAATTGCCAAACCCAATCAAAACATTTTCCCCCCGGAAATTTTTTGGTTGCCCTTTTTTTTTAAAAAGTTTTTGAATTTATTAAACCAACATTCCCTTTTAAAGAACCCCCCCCGCCTTTTGGAAAAATTCTAATTTAAATTAAAGAGGTTTTTAAAAAATTATTAACATTTCTTTGCTAGGCAAAGTTTTTGTTAGACCTTTGGGACATACCTTTTTTACAATTCTATGTTAAATTTTTTTGAATTGAATAAAATATTGAATGCATTCCCCAATCTTTAATTTGGGAATTTTATTTTCAAAAAATTTTTTGTTAAAAACCCATTTTTGTTTTTTTTTTTTTCTTTTTTTCCCCTAAAATTTTAAAATTTTTTCCAATTTTTAAATTAAGAGGTTAAGAAGGGAAGTTTGGGTGCCTAAGTGGTATTTTTTTTTAACCCCCGGGGTTTGCCATCCCCTCGATTTCTTCTTTTAAAATTTCTAAAAAATTCAAAAAGGTAAATAAATTTGAGGTTTTTAGGGAAAAAATTTTTTTCCTAAAAAAATTGAGTCATATTGTAAAAAAATTTCATTTTTAGAATATTAAAATAATTAAAATTTCTGATTGCCCCCTTCCCCCGTTTGTTTTAAATTTAAAATCAAAAGATTTTAGAAAAATTTTTTCCCTTTTTTTTTTTTAAAAACTCGGGGCCAAAAATATTTCCAACCTTTTGGGTTACTGTTTTACCCGCACTTTTTTTTTTAATTTCTTAAAACCCATTTGGAAAATTTTAACAGAAAACCCCCTTAAATTTTGTTTTTTAATTTTGTTTATAAAAAAACATAGTCCCCCCCAAAGGTTATTCCCTTTAAATTTTTAAAAAATTTTTTCAAAACCCAAAATTTAGAAATCCTTTTTTCCCCTAAAAGGTTGATTTAAAATTGGGGCCCAGGGCTTCCCCCACACTTAAATGTTTTATTACAAATGTTATTCCCCTTTCCCCCTCTTAGTAAGTTTATTTATAAATTTTTAAAAATTTTCAAAATTTTCCCTTTAAATTTAACCCCAACCTCCATTTAAAATTTTTTTTTTAAATGAAAATTTTTGTTTTACTTTTTATTGAAAATTTCCCCCCCAAAATTTTTTCTTTTTTCAAAAATTTGTTGTCATTAATTTATTTGTTCTTTTTTCTTTTTAATTTTTTTTCTTTTTTTTTTTCCCCCCTTTGACCCATTTAAAAAAAATTTATATTAATTTTTTTTATTATTTTTTTAATTTTATTAAATTTTTTTAATTTTTAAAAAAATTTTTTTAAAAATTAAAAATTTTTAAACCCCCCATCCCCTTTTCCCCCCCCATTCCCTTTTCCCTTTACCCTTCTTTCCAAATTTTTTTTCCCTAACCCCCTTTTTGTTTTTTTAAAAACCACCTTTTTTCCCCCGTTGCTTTTTTTCCCCGACCCCATTTCCTTTACTCTCTTTTTTGTAAAAAAAAGTTCGTTTTTTGGAAATTAATAAAATGCCCAAAGTCTCCCAAAAACCCTTTTTTTAACCCAAAAATTTA